AAGGAAGATTGATCAAACGTTTCATGAAAATGATGTTAATAAATGTTAAGGTTTTACAAGATTGTGATGTGGCATTGATAAAAGCACGCTTTACTTGACCTCTAATTTCTGCTAAATACTAAAATTATAAATACCAGTATAAAGCTGATTTCGATGTGCAGTAAAAATGGTATACAAATTCCCCACAGCAGAATTCCATAGCTGATACACAAAGTGGTAAGTTGATTAGTCCCCTTAAAGCATGTCAATTTCTTTTACAATGCATGTTTATCATTTTTTCACATGTTGACTATAGTCTGTGTGTTGCTTTCCAGGTGCACCCGCAGGCAAGGAAAACATCAAGTGAATGATGCGAGTAACAGACTCTTAAAGCACTGTAAATGCAATAATACCTTAGCGGATTGCTAGGGATTCTACAGTAATTTAAATAATTTTTAAATTACTATGTACATTTTTCTCATTATTTATGATACATATTAATTGGCTGTTGTGCATCTGGTCTACAAGTGCTGCTTATTTATTGATTATATAGCATTTTGAACTTTGTCTCTCTCATCTATTTCACTGGCACCTGCATTGTAATGACCACTGAGCTATGCTGATACTTGAGTGAGTCTTGTATGAATGCAGAAGTTATTTTACTTTTAGGGTCAAAGAAGTCTGCAGTTTCCAAATCTTCTATTTTTAAGACAATTAAATAACATTTAGAAATAAAATGAAAATAGTTAACACTTCAGTTCTTGCCCTTTGTTGAACAGCTAACATCATGACGTTGCGGGCACTAAACTAAAGAAAGTACACAAACTGGAAACAGTTTAAATGTTTTTGAATTTAGTTAAAGTGTATTGGCTGTTGAAAGCAGAGACTGACATGTTTTAAGTCTTTAGAGATTACTATTGGCCTTCATCTGAGAGCTTCAACTGACTCACAGCAACAGGGTCTATTTTTAAAATGTAGCGGTTTATTAAAGCCTGCCAGTTAAACCACTTTTTCTATCTGCTCTGCCTGTTCGCACGTCTGAAGACGCAGCCTACAAGAACAGCGCTGCTGCGTTTTTTTAAATAGACTCTGTGGTCAACTGACTTTAAACTGTGAGACAGGTCTGTAACCGAACACATGTAACATGAGCCTTTTTTTTAACATAAGCATAAAGACACACAGGAACAATGACATAGATTTTGTGTTAAGCTCAATGCTGCCCCCCAAAGACCAAACATTGTCAAGAGCAACAGCCAATCCAACTGCTTTCACAAATAATGCTATAATATCAAATAAGAATATTTCCCCCTTTGAGTATTTGTTTCGTTTTTTTTTATGTAACTTAAAGTGAAGAAACCATCTTAAATTGTAAAACACAGAATATAATTCGTATGTAAAACTAGAGGAGTGAAAAACAAAAGCTTTCTTAAACAAATCAACAATAATTAAAGCGATGAGAAAACAGACCCATTATTATGTCAAATACTATAATGCATGTCACTGCTGTGCCACTACAAATCTCCCAAACACATTCTCTGAAAGATGGCAAATATATATATAGTTAATATAGCCAACTATGTAATGAGACCTTAAACATAGTCGGAGAAAGATACTAAACCTCCTGCTGCAAAATGTGTGAACAAATCCTCACTGTTACACCCAGACAAACCCAGAGAGACCTGCTGGGTAATGACCACTGAACAGAGCAGTGGAAGAGCTGTAGGCAGGGCTGGTGGTTACAGAGACAGTCCTTCAACCTGACTTCAAGCTCTAATGTCACTTGCTCAAGGACACTTAGCCAGCATGAATGCTATTAATACCAGCTTTTCTCTAAATGACCTCTGACAGCCGAGGTCAGAGGTCACTCAGAGAAATAAGAACCTTACAAAAGTGGTAAATTACAATACAAATTGTCCTATTTGTCATAAACATCTCTTAGATCTGCTCTAAGGCAGAGATATTTTCATTGGTTAGGATAACTTTAAAACGGTGGCCCCAAAGAACCATCCTGTTACTCTGAATAATGCTCGACTATCTATAAAATTAGGCACAGGAAGAGGAGGTTCTAACCTACATTATACTTCAGCTGTATTCCTGTCTGATGTTCAGACAGTGAGCAAGGAGCCAACATGGAGGTCACAGCTCTCTGCATCCGACTGTGTGAGTACTGAGTCTGTCTTCATGTCACATTTACCAACAGAGCAAGAACAAAAGACGTTTCTCTCACTTTAAAGACGATCCATCTCAGAGGAGTTAAACATGTTCGTCTTTATAGGTGTTTTATTTACTACAATGGTCGTATCCTTGTGCTTCTTTTATAGATTTTATGTTACCATTGTCTCTTGAATGAATTAGCTATCAAACCAATATTTGAATAAAATCCTATGTGTGTTCTCTCATGCTGTATCTCTCTCAGTGCTGAATGTGTTGTTGCTGCTGCAGCCCAGCTGTTCTCTGGAAGACTGTAAGTAGCAGTTAGTCCATCACAAGTCTATATGAAATGTCATTTTTT